GCATCTCAGGTAGCTTTGGCCCCTGCGCCTTGGCTGATAGCTCCAGATTATGGTGCCTCGTTTTGTTGCGGCTGCCATGACTGCATTTCAGACGATCTAGGACGCTTGCACTCAACTCCTTGCGTTCGTCGGCATCTTCGCGTTTATCGCTCGCCCGTCAATGACGCTGCCTTGGTTCCTCATTTTCTCCCTTGATTTGATATCAGCGTCCTGTGGCACCGAATCCTCGGCCTGCTCTGAACAGGTCTTCGCTAGACCGCTATTTCCGTCGAGTATGATGTAGTCTCAACTTTGCTCGCAAGCCCGCGAAGCTTGCCGTGGAGACACAAGCGAATCCCGTAGGATTCGCTCCCGTTCTCCCGACCGCCTCCACATCAGCCGGCGCAGTCGCCATTGGCGTCGAGGTCATCCCCACGCCTACAGACAAGGACGGTGAACTCCCGTTCAAGCAGCGCGTGCTCGCGTTCTCGACCTCTCCGTGTCTTATTGGGCGCATAACGAAGCTGTCAATACCTTGTTGAATCCCTACGCTGCATCTACCGAAGCGATGTATGAGCATTTCTGCCTGTGGGTGGCGTCATGTTCACACATATTGCAAGTCGAAGTTACATGATCTCATACCTAGGACTCATCCCGCGGCCTCTCCGCATTGATCCCATACACCCGTACGACGCCATGATTTACGACCATACAGGTGTCTGTTACTTCGAGAGAACCTGCACCAGGGCCTTGCCGACGTGCACATGGGCATCGCCATGAGCATATACCTACCACCGTAGAGCCCCATCCCTACTACACACTTCGTGCTGGAACGGCGAATTGGGGTGACAATCGAGTTGTGGAGACGAAATCAGGCTAGTCTCTTTTCACATTCCTCTGGGGCGCGGACTTTCTTGGGTCGAGATAGCAGAGCTACAGGACGCGTGAAGGCAGAGGCAGGAGCGGTTTTGGAGAACCGGGCGGAGCTGCTAGAGCTGCGATTCAATTGTGCTTGCCTAAGGCCGGAGACGGAGGGTGAACGACCGTCATAGTAGTAGGAGATATGTATAACATCCTAGAAATCTCCGTGATCTCACTATGCTGAACATCCTACTCGTTACATCGACGGTCATTAGTGGCTATGTGTACCAATCAGTGATAGCACAGAGCTAGGCTAGATGAATCAAATGCACTTGGTCTCCGTATGCGTCAGTCCGTCCCAGGGCGTTCATTACTAACACACATTCTGTACAGATTTCTTTATGCCCCGATATGCACGAAATTGACCCATCTCTCCAGATTAGCTCCGTTTCGCCGCATCTCTTTCGCAGCTGAGCACAATGCCCTCGCAGCCCTCTTGAATCCGACCTCTGATCCTTGGGGCGTATCCGACTTGTCGCGTTGCTCTGCAAACAACGCGTCGTAAAAAGCTTTGGCAAACGTCGGCCCATCCTCATCCTGCAGTTGCCACATCGTCCCCACCACGCTCTTGAAGCCAGAAAACTGCATCGCAGCGGCCAGATTGAGTGCCTCGTCCAGAGCACTGTCCGGTGTCCATTCAGCAGTATGGCAGGCCGACAAGACAGCTAGTTCTGCATTATCACGGTGGAGGCCAGCTTTGATGATGTCGAGCAGAGTGATCCGCTCGCCTCCAGAAAGGATGAACGCTGAGCTGAGAGGTTCGCCCGCCTTTAACGTCCCGTGGCAGGAGAAATGTACCCATGGCCGCTCCACGAGACCTGCAGTCACCGTCTCACGGTTGCAGTGACTCTCAATGGCGAGCGTTAGGCTACTATCCGCGAAGTGTGCGCGGAGAACTTCCACTTCTTTTCCCACCGCTCCTAGCGTCCTGTCGAGCAGAGCGACACCAAGAAGGCCCTCGTGCTTCACTCGACGACCACCACCAGTCGCTCGGGATTCAATCAGCGCAGTAAGCGTCGGAGTGTAGGATGGGATATACAAGTCCGGAAGGTATACTTTGCCTTTGGAGGACCTCAGCTCTGGCATTGCGATTGGGCCCGCGGCATGCAGCGGCAGTATAGACACTGCGAAGGTAGGACACCACCAAATCCGCGACCCTTTCTTGACTCCGAGCTCCTTCAATCTCTCCACGACTGGGCCTACAACGAGATCCGCGAGCTCTTCTAGCGTCCGGCGCAGGACTCGGTCGTATTTCTTCGGCGCAGTGCTCAGGGACTCGCGGGCCCCCAGCAGGTCGTTTGCCAAGTCGACGGCCCTCTTGAAAAAGACATCGACCAACTTGACGCAGCTGAGAGTATCGCCGGGACCAAGGATTAGAGCATCCGAGCGGAATCTGCTGCTGTTGACGATGATAACCGGTCCCTCTGCCGAAGCCGCCTTAAGTCTGTCGTAGGAGGGCGGTCTGAGAAAGCCTGGGATCTTTGCGCGGATCTGGTCGATGACATCGTCTAGCTCGGCCGACAGGCGGCGTTTCGTCTCGAGCATATGCCCATACAAATCGGAGCGTTCACCAGCATCTGAGACGGGTATGAATGGATTTGCAGAAGTACTGACTGCCTCCAGCATGCGACCCTTCTCCAGGAAAGCATCGTGAAGAGGCCTCAAGCTCTCGTCGGCAGATAGTTGGTCGAGGGGTGTGCGCAGGCGGCGGACTTGAGACCAGAGTAAAGCTCTACCTTGCTCTAACATCTCCACAGCGAGTTCGAGATCTCCCTGGCTTATTGCGTATGCCGCGGCGTCCAAAGTCAAAGATTGCTGATTTTGAGCCACCTCGTGTTGCATTTCCAGTGTTGGGGTGATTGCGAGATCCCGCAGCAACAGTTCAAGGCTCCTGTGGTAAGCTTCCATTGCTGAATGATGACCATTCTCATGGGCCAGATGTGCCCACAATATTGCACAGTCCAGCTGCCTGAGACGGTAGGCAGTTGATTCGAGGAGCGCGCTGGTTACCGGTGTAAGTACTACCTTTCTGTAATTTTAAAGGAGAGACGTACCCCTCTCTGGCATAGAGGATAGCATTGGACACATCCTCTTGATCCCCGGTCTTGTCATGTCTTTCACCCAAAGAAGATGCAAGATTGTACAATAAATCAATATGTTCCGGATGACCTTGTTCCAGAGGATAGAGCGACAGCATCCTGTGTCCTTGATCAATACACTCGTCAAGGTCCTCCACCGCCTGGAGCGCTCTGTATCGCCCGATTAGAGCTCTTCCTAAGCTGTTGACTAGATGCAAGGAGCTGGAGTTTGAAAGGGACAGAGCCTCCCGGAAGTGGTCGATAGCTTTCTGCATATCCTCAGGGTCCCTAGTCTGTTCGTATTGACAGAGGTGATACTGAGCAAAGCGGCGGATGACTCCGCTCCGGTCAGGATCTCCAGGTGGACAGAGATGTAGCTCCACCTCTATGTACCGCATGCATTCTCTGAGGTCTTCGGCGCGAGCTTCAGCGTCCCGGCGGATCTCGTTCGCCCGGATGCAAAGATACTGCGTCAGTGCGCTCAACAAGTTCATGTGATAAGGTGACTTGTGATCTTGATCCACGGATATCGCCTCGCGAAGAAAGGAGATGGAGCGGTTCAGGTCCTCCGACTGTCTCGTCATGTTGAATCGCCCGCCCAAGGATGATGACAGGGTCCATAAAACGGCAGCACGGCCCGAATGCCCCGGCGGACACAGCGACAGAGCTTCGTAACTGTACTTGATGCTGTCTCTGAGGTCGTCAGGCTGACGTGTCAGTCGGAAGTGACTGGACAAAGCGCTCGCCAGAGCCGTTATGGTAGAAAGACGATTGAGAAACCCGAGTGAATCGGATTTTATTTCGAGACTTTCGCGCATGTAGATGATCGCATTGTCCAAGTCGTCCAAATTGCCATTAATTCCGAATCGTATTCTGAGAGCGAATGCCAAACTATCTATGACACGATAGCGACTGGGGTGGCCTATAGGACAAAGCGCAAGCGCTTTGTAGCTGAGGTCGACGCTCCTGCTGAGGTCGTCGTCACGGTGGCCACCTGTCGTCAAGTCGGATCGTTCAGCAAGGGCTGATGCTAGCGCAGATATCGTATTCACGTATGTCATCAAGTCGGAGGGCGGGAGTGGTGCTTCCTGCGATAACGACGCAAGGGCCATCTCTAGATAGTTAATGCATTGTTCCAAGTCCTTCGAGTCCCCGTCGATCAGATGGCGAGTGCTAAGTGTACGCGCTAATTCTCCTAATGCTTTGGCGTGACCAGGATGTCCTAGAGGGCACAGCGATAGACACTTTTGTCCGTACTCGATGCTCTTCCGCACATCCTCAATATTTCTTGTTATTGTTGCATAGCGGTCACGTAGATTGGTCACTAGCTCTGATAACAAGTGGATGTGAAATGATGAATCCGAGGTGGCATAGGATAGAGCTTCTTCGAAGGATTCGATGGACTTCTCCAAGTCGGCGTGGTTTCCGGTCACCTCAAAGCGCTGCCGTAATGACGCACCAAGATCACTTAACACAATTACGCCCACAGGATGCGGGGCGGGATAGAGCGAGAGGGCCTGGCGGAAATATCCAAGAGATCTGTCCACATCGTCTACCTGTTTCGTATGAGCGGATCGCTCGCGAAAAGTAATCGCCATGTTCCGAATGAGCGAAGGGTAAATAGGAGACTGGGAGGGACAGAGAGCA